CCCAGGTGCTTGGGATCACCAATCGAAGGCTTGAAGCCCTTCCGGTTGCTCAGGAAAAAAAAAACAGTTGCACACCCTTCAAGCAGAAAACGAAGGGTTCAAACTCAGGAGTGACAAAGGGATAGAATAATAATTATGCAAGTTAGAATAAATAATCAAATGAAAAGAAGAAAAGCATCCATGGAGTGATCAAATGATCAAGGCGAATATCCACTTGTCGATATTTAACTAAAGGCATTAATTTACATTATAGGGTGTAGAGAAACAGGTCAATTTGAACTCCATAGGAAATCATAGCGAAAGATGAAATGCATAAAGTTCAGAAATTGTTAAAAACAGTTCCATTTTGGTTCCCATGCATGGCAATACTCTACTCCCTCCGTCTCATAATGTAAGACATTTTTTGACACTAGACTAGTGTCAAAAAACGTCCTATATTATGGGACGGAAGGAGTAGCAAATATGTGCGATAGAAACAATATCTCATGTAAACCACTATAGGCGAATGGTGCATAAAACTTATGATCTCAGAGGTCCAGAAATCCTAAACATAAAAGTGCCCTCCAGGAATAAGAATTAGTGAAAGGTACCGAATTGGTATTATCTGATTCAGGATCAAATTTGTTGCTCTAATAATTCCTTCCTTTGGCTTAAGAATAGACATGTCCCTAATAAAATATAATGTATCTACTCTTGAGTATGTAAAGGCCTGGGCCTCTCTGCTTGGGGAAATTAATCATGAGCACCTAAAAAAACTGTTGTGGGTACACAAAGAAGAAATTCTTGGCAGGAACAGGTACTCGCATGCTTAGGGCCAACATTAAAAATGTTGGTAATAAATGTGCAACATTTAAAAAACATAACAAGTTACAGGATAGCAAGTCTACCTTCATAAGATGCAACCGGAGATCAGTCGGGCGAACTCCCTCACCAATGCACACCATAACAAACTGTGAATAGTTGAAAAGAACATCTGCAGCAGCTTGCTTCTTCTGCTGAGTCTGAAAAACGTAGGCACATAGCTCACAACAACAGCAAAAACTCAACAAGAGTAGATTTTTTTTATCCTTACAAACAATTGATTTAGAAATACAATTCCCACCAAAATCTTGTTCAAGTAAAAGCATAAAATAAGATGAACTGGTCCAACAGTTAGACCTCCTCCAATGCAAAGGTGCTTAGATGAGGTGCTAAGTATATTAAATGCCTTAGCAACTCAAGTCCCCAATGCAAGGTGCTAAGTTTTTGGGTGCTAAGCCTCATGCATTTAATTAGTTGTAGACTCAGAATTTTGCTTCCACCTAGGTACACGTGCTTAGCACCGTTTCTTCCTGGGGTCACCATACTACTCTCTCTCTTCTTAACTAGCATGCCACATCAGAATTTTTGCTTAGTTGGTAACCCTAGCACCTGTACAAGGTGGAGCATTGGGAGGGGCCTTACATCATACTCTCTCAGTCACAAATTAAGTGTC